AGCTGTCCTGGAACTCACTATATAGACCAGGCTGGCCTTGAATTCACAAAGATCCACCTGCCTCTGCCTCCCAAGTGCTGGGATTAAAGACGTGCTCCACCACGCCCGGCCTTATTATTATTATTTTTTTGACAGAGCATAGGGTAGGGGTTTATTTACAGAAGAGTGGGCTCCTCACATTTATGGTTGCACCATAAAGTCCACAGTCATACAGATCCTGTGACCTCCCGACAGCCACACAAAATAGTCAGAGAGGTGCCACTTGGTGTTCTCAGCTTATATATCCTTTGCCCTTCCCCTGACATGCAGCTAAGGTTGACTGACTGGGTAAGGGGGGTAACTGACTGACTCCCCCCTCGACTCCTTGATGAGTGTGGGAAGGAGGTGTGACTACAGCTTGCCTACAGTATAGTGGTCAGAGGACATTTCCAGTTAACACTCCACCCCTTCCTCCTGAAAGTAACACATTTCTAAATTCACCAGCACTGACTGCATTTCAGTTGGAGGCACTGCTTAGAAAGGCCCTGGGTTTGAGGCTGTCTTGGAGGAATGTTAATGATGATGCCCAGGACTTAGACTTTCCCTGTAAGATAGTCACAGGTCTGAGAAAAAACAAGAAAGGAAGCCACTTTCTCTTCTGGTGACTCAGCATTTTTTAGGAGGTTAGGAAATGGAGTTTCACAACTTCCTCCACTCCTCCTGTTCTCCTCTGATCTGTCCAGTGAGGATTCTGTTTATGATCTGCTTCTCTCCTGTACCTGAGATTCCTACAAAAACTATTCCCTCTCTGTCCTTCCAGCCTTTTTCTGTAACAGATACTTCTCTTGCCAGCAAAAGTGGAAACTTTCTCCAGATTTCTTACCAACTGAACAAAGCAGTTGGTTACCTGACAACCAGCTGGCAAAGACGCTGCATTTTTCTACTTATCCAGAGCCCTGGTTTGAGATGGAATCGAGTGTGTAGTTAGCTCAATTTGGCAGGAACTTAAGGAGGGATGGATGTCAGAGGGGAATCAAAGAAACTGAACACTACCTTGGTAAACAAAATCCAAAGGCAGACCAGATTGTGTTATGGGAGACCACGGAGACATTCACTATTCATCTGCTACCAGGAACACAGGAGAGTCGGGTGTCTCCTGGCCCTGAGAGATCCTTGGTGTTGTTTCCTTATAAAGGGTGGGTGGTGGGAGGCATGTGGAAAGGGAGAGAAGAAAGGGTGAGTAGGGGTTGGGAGAAAGGGAGAAAGGAAAGGCCAGGCTGGGCAGTCCTAGGCTTGTGAGAGTTGGGGCCTTCCCAGGCTGGAGGAATAGAGCCATAAGGATGCACGTTGGCGGGAAAATTGGGACAAAACTGGAAATTGGTGCCTAGATTCCATTCTGCAACTTGGATTTCTAAATTAAATATAAAACAAGGGTTAGGGGCAGGCAGTCACTGAAAGGAGAAAAGAAGTAGAGAGCAGAGCTTTTTTTTTTTCTTTCTTTTTTTTTTTTTTTTTAAGACAATCTCCTAGGGCTAGAGAACTGGCTCAGCAGTGACGAGCACTTACTCTTCTTCCAGAGGACCCAAGTTTAGTTCCTAGTACCCAAGTCTAGCAGCTCATAATTGCCTATACCTCTAGCTCCAAGATATTTGACACCCTCTCCTAGCCTCTGAGGGCATCTGCACACACATGGCATTCACTTAAACAGACACTCACATGCACATAACTAAAAATAATTTTTAAATTATTTTTAAAGGACCAGGCATGGTGGTGCATGTCTTTAATCTTAGCACTCAGGAGGCAGAGGCAGGCATATCTCTGTGACATTGAGGCCAGCCTGGTCTACATAGCAAGTTGCAGGCCAGCTAGGGCTATAGGGAGACCCTGTCTCAAGAAATAACACACACACACACACACACACACACACACACACACACATATGAGTAACAGAATCTTCATATGATGCGCAGGTTGGTGAGCTTAAGTGATCCTTCTGCCTCAGCTTCATGAATATCTACATTCACTTCTGTGCTTGAAGAGAGTAATTAATTTTTTAAGATGCTCAGTATTGCTTAGTTGAAATAAAATATAAGCTCATGGCTATTATTTATTTAGTGTGTATGTGTGTTTGTGTGCGCGTGTGAGCACATGCTGCATGCCACAGTGTACATGTGGAGGTCAGAGGACAACTTTCAGGAGTTAGTTCCAGGGCTTGGAGGCAAGTGCTTTTATCTACTGAGCCATGTGAGTGAGTGGCCCCAGTAATTTAAACATTTCTAATAGCCACGTTAATGAAAGTAAAAGCAAAGAGATAAAATCAGGGATATTTCAATTAACTCAATGTGTGAAAAATCTTACTCCATATGTCATACATTTATGAAGGAATATTTGCATTCATTTTTTCCACACCAAGGCTTTGAAATCTGGTGTTTTATACTTGATTTGAATTAACTACATTATCAGTCACATATTAGATGAAATTTTGCAGCTTCTTACACTTGCAGTAGAAATCCATTTCTTTGGGGTCAGGTCCCTTCTGCTGGTGAGCTGCAATCCCAATAAAGAAGCCTTGTCTATCCCATATGTAATGTGATTTGCATGATGTCTACAATGTCCAATCTTGGGTGTCACTGTGAAATGGCTTTCTCTGTCACACTCCTGCTGGTAATGTATGCCAATCCCTGTCAAGCTTTCTATGAAGAGCATATTCAAATCTTTCTAGCTTTTGCAGTCCAAGTCAAGAATGAATGTTTATTTTATTTTATTTTATTTTATTTTATTTTAGCAAAAGTTGCCTTCGAATCCCTCCAAAGTAACCTAGGCAATGGTACGATCATGACCCACACAGCAGAGGCATTATCTGCAAAGTTAGTGGGAAACTAGTAATGTTTGTGTGAGACCCCCTGCGCCCCCTCCACCTCAGTATTCAAGGTTTTTAAATCAACTAAGAACAAATGCTGTGATTTAAGTCTAACAAAACTCTGAGGCTTTCCAAATGCATTTCATAGGACCAGGTTTTGCCTCAGCAATAACCTCCCCCCACACTTCCTGGTCTTTGTACACTTGCTAATTTTGAGGATGAGGGATCTATTAGAGGTCATTCATGCGACCATCTTGAACTCTGTTAATTTTTTAGCTGATGTGGTAGAAAGGACTCCCAGGCAGTGACCTTGTGGCCTGATCTGATGTTTTAGGACAAGCAGCTGAGAAAGTCCAAGGATGGGTGTGCCGGTTAGTTTTGTCAACTTGACACAAACTGGAGACACCTGGGAAGAGGGAACTTGAATTGAGGAATTTTCTCCATCACATTGACCTATGGGCATGTCTGTGGGACATTTTCTGAATTGCTAATTGATGTAGGAGGGCCCAGCACACAGCGGGTGGTGCCATCTCTAGGCAGATGAACCTGGGCTGTGTAAGAAATGTAGCTGAGCAAGTCAGGGAGAGCAAGTCAATGAGTAGTGTTTCTCTATGGTTTCTGCTTCAGTTCCTGCCCCCATATTCCTGCCTTGAGTTCCTGCCTTGGAGTCCCTCCATGATGAACTGTAAGATGCAATAAATCCTTTCCTCCCCAAGTTGCTTTTGGTCAGTGTTTATCACAGCAACAGAGAAGCAAGCTAGGACAAAGGGTGACAAGTTAAGGCCCAGAGCTGATTTGCTTTGTCTCCTCTTGTGGTGGTGCCTGTCTCAACATCAGCAGTTGGCAACCTGTGGAAAGAATGCAAGACAGAAGGAGGGAGGACAGATGTGCTTATTTCTAACAAAAGGCAGAGAAAGAGAAATTATAAAAGAGATGAGACATGGGCTGAAGAGATGGCTCAGAGGTTAAGAGTGTGTACTCTTCTTGCAGAGGATCCCAGTTTGATTCCTAGTACCCAGGTATAGCAGCTCACAACCACTTGTAACACCAACACCAGGGGGATCTGATGCCTCTGGCCTCTCTAGGCCACACCCACACACAGACATACACACACAAAATTAAAAATAAAAATAAATATTTTGAAAGAGAAAAGAGGTGAGACAAAAACAAAAGAGAGAATATAAACCACCATATTAGTAATTAAATCAAATATGCATAGTCTAAATACAACAATTATAAAACATGATTTGGCAGATTTGGTAGAAAAAAACTGCATGCTTTGCTATTTAA